CTGCCTCACCCGGGAAGAGCGCAATGATGGTGCCAACTTGGGCCAGTGAAGCAACGTCCTCCACAACTAGACTGAAGAACAAAAGGAAAGCAACTTGTCTGTTCCCCTTCCCCCAATTCCCCAGCGCTGTTCCCTTCCCCCAAATCCCCAATAAAAATCTTTTTAAAAATAAATAAATAAATAAAAAATAAATAATCACAAACTGAGGTAAAAATTAATGTAGAAAAGTACAGGTTACTGTGAGAGTGACTTGATATGTTTCCAGGGGTTAGAGGCTTCCTTCATGGTGACCCTTCTGTTGCTTGATTATCATGCTGTGATTATTTTCTTGTATATCTTTCCCACTCTTAACCCTGGTATATGTAAACTTCTTAAGAGTAGGAAGGTTTCCTATCTCTCTAGTGTCTAGTCTATACTGGGTATTCTAACTATAAATATGTACTGAATTCAGTGAATATCTTTGAATAAATAAATTGTTAATTCTTTGTATGAAATAAATTTTTAATTATAAAACCATATTATGATATCCGAAAATACTGTATAATAAGTATTTTTAAATATGGGGTTTTTTTCCCTTTGGGATTTACAGGGTCATCAAATTTACAACAAATTTCCAGTTTTGACTTCACATCCACAAATTCCTTATCAGAAGACTCAGTAGTAGTTGTTGGAAAAGGTATTTCAAAGTTATTTAGCTTTTTAATTGTATGTGTTCTTCACACATAAGCAAAGCATATCAGTAGAGACCAGAGAAGAGTGTGATTCAGGTGCTGAATAGAAATTTCTTTTTAAACAGTTATTAAATTGAAAGAATTAGTAGTGAATACTTCACATGTCTGTCCTCTAAAGAAGCTACTGTAAATTCATGCCAGTAATTTTCAGAGAGATGTACATTGTGTACATGACAGCAGCAGTTTGGATACTTCTAAGACACTTTTAGAATAACTAAGACTGTTTTACCATAGTTTAAATTCAAATGGTAGTCTTTATTTATCAGCTTAGTAATCAGTATAAAATTAATACAATTTTATTACCTCCCATACAAAGTCTAGATAAATCAGAATTAACACGTGTTATATATTTTAGGGGGATTAGGAGATCTTTGAACAATATATTTGTAAATATCCTTTAAAACTCTTTGTTGTTTTTTTTTAGCTTTATTGATGTATAAATGACAAATAAAATTCTAAGATATTTAAAGTGTAAAACATGATGATTTGATATCCATATACACTGAGAAAGGATTCCCCTATCAAGTTAATTATCACATCTCAATTAGTCTCATTTTTAATTGAAAAATTCAAATGTGATGAAAAGTATTTAGGGTATATATGTTATTTTCAGTTAATAAAATGAAATGCTTGGAAAGCTTTCCTAACTTCTTTGCTTGATAGAGTCTCATTAAGGCCCTCTTCAGATTGGCTCCAACGTACTCCAGCAAACTTATTTTCTGTTATTCCTCTATGTGCCTTGTTTGAACCTAACTAATTTATTCGCTCCACATACATGCTTTATACTTGTTCAGCTCTGCTTTTAAGCACCTGCATCTCACAGGATGTCCTCCACGCCTTAGTCACTTATCTCCAAATTTGTTGTCTTCTAATCCTGGCTCAAATCTTTGCTCCTTAAAACATCTTAAACACTCAGCTCACACCAAACTTTTCTTGCTGTGAACTCAGCACTTGCTTTATGCAGTTCTTATTTGATGTTATTGTCCTCTTAGGGTAGTTGCTTTTATGTTTTATGATTATTTAGCATGTTTTTATTAACTATATTGCTTTTTTTTGAAGGCAAGAGCTTTGTCTTAAACTCTGTTGTCCAGAGTGACATCACATAAATATTTAATGAAAATTTGATTGTTGGTTGATTTCAGGTGTATTTGGAAGTCCAAATTCAGCACCAGCAACCTGCAGTCAATCAGTGATAACTTCTGTGGAAAATGGGGATAAATTTTCAATTAAACAAAGCATTGAACCACCTCCAGGGATTTACGGAAGAGCCGTCCATCAAAGTAGTCCATCATATCTTGATGTTGAGAATGAAAAAGATGTAAGGTTATTTGCTAATTATTTAAGGGCAAATATAAGCCTATAATATGTCATTGTTTTGTGTATATCAGATTTGGCATGGTAAAAGTACTTCAATTAAAATTTTAAAAATTACAATGTAATTAAAAATTCTGACAATCATTTAAACAATAGATTATTCTCCTTACTCATCAAATATGTTCTTATTCTGGTGTAGTGCATCTAGTATATTTTATATTTTCCATGTACTCTATATACATGTATGCATGTGTCTGTGTGTCTGTATACATACATGTTTATATCTGTATCTACCTCTGTATAGCTATATATCTATATCTATGTATAATAATTTTCTAGGATACACTCAAGGAGTAACAGACTAATATCCTCAGGCACAAATTTTGTTGGCTGTTAGCACTATATAATTCTATTATCTTATAGAATTCCTGAAATTAAAACTAAGAAATGTATAGTTTATTTTGTATATAGACATTTAATGGCTATATACAGTTTTCTGAGATGAAGATAGTTATTTTAAATGTCAGGCTCCCTGAATACTTTCAGATATTTCAACTTTTTCATGCAGATCAAAGTTTCTATTTCAAAATCTACTTTTGACAAGATGAGACAAAAGAGAAAAGAGGAAAAAGAACTTTTTGACGTTAAAGATTGTGAAAAGAAGGAACAGAATCCTTGGGAACGAATGAAACATACAGGAACTGAGAAAATGGCATCTGAAAGTAAGTGGAATTTAGCTTTTGGTATTTTTTTTAGCTAGTAATATTCTGAAGGTGGTGTACTATGGTTGAACTGAGGGTGGTATATGGCTAATAGTGGAATATGTTGAACTATAATTCTGAAATTTGCAAGATGCAGTAGCTTCTAACTATTATAAATAATAATTCTCATAAAAAAGAAATTGACTGATTGTTTTTCTCCCTTCTAGACGATGTGGGAGTATCAAAAAAGGAGAGTTCCTCTTTAGAAAACATTGCCTTCAATCCTCCATTGAAAGGAGGGGCTAGTTTAAAAAGGTCACCATCTTTAGTGTTTTCAGATTCAGGTAAGTCACTTTTTTTTTTTTTTAATTGGGGGAGGGAAACAGTGTTGGGGAATTGGGAAAGGGGACCAGCAAAGTTGTTGTTCTTCAGTCTTAGTTGTGGAGGGCGCTAGTCACCATCTGGCTGCCCATTGACAGCTCATGGCCTCTAAGCTCAAGTTGCAGTGTTACACTCTTAGTTGCAGGTGGGCATAGCCACCATCTTATGCAGGAGTCGAACCGGCAGCCTTGTTGTTAAGAGCACATGCTCTATCCACTGAGCCACCTGGGTGGCAGCTCAACTCAAGGTGCTGAGTTCAGTCTTAGTTGCAGGTGGGCATAGCCCACCATTGACCAGGCAGTCTTGTTGTTAGGAGCAAGTGCTCTCACCAGCTGAGCTATCCTGCCACCTGTTGGCAGCTCAGCAGCAGCTCAGCTCAGGCTTAGTGTCCCTCGCCTACGTGGGAATTGAACTGGCAGTCCTGTTGCTCAGAGCTCGCATTCTTAAGCTAACTCTTAACCAACTGAGTCACTCGGCCGGCCCCTCAGGTAAGTTACTTTATTAAATGTGAAGAGTATAGTCACAAATGCTTGTTAAGCTGAAGAGACCACATCTGGTTCAGTTCATTTGTGATGGAAAGAGCACTAACCTAGTAGGAGACATTAGACAGACCTGGCTTTTTCTTTTTTCTTTTTTTTTTTTTTTTGGTTTTCACATTTTTATGGGGGGGGCCACTTGTAGGGGCTTCCTCCCTGTCAGTGGAGCTGCTCACAGTTTCTTCAGCCACTCCAACCTTGGGCTCTGGGAGTGGCTGGGGTTGTCAGGCATGTCCCCATCATCTCCGACCCATACTGGGTAGTTGTAGGGTGTGACCTGTTTGATCATGGCGGTGTACTTAGTATAGAGGCTGGGGGAGGTGGGGGGCAGAATTATAGTCCCAGCCATCTTGGTCTCCGCCCAGACTTGGCTTTTTAAGTATCAGTTCTGCCTTTTAATTAGCTTTGTGATCTGGAAACAGGCCTCATTTTCTGCCCTCATAAATATCTAAATTATCACAAGGGTCCAGATTATCTCAAAAATCTCTTCCATGCTCCCTGCAAATATTCCCGTTTTGCTGAGGAGTGATATACCATTTTATAACTAAGATAACTGAGATTGTTAAGCTGGTTTATATTAGATCATGATTAATAAAATTGCATTTATCATTTATTCAGCCATTCATTGATTACTTGACAAGGTTCTATACCAGGCCAAAAGTACATTCCATGTTTTCTGTGCTGTTTTTAAAAATATTGAATAGGTCTTATGTATAATAGCAACTAGGTAAAATCAGAGGTTGAAATGAAATATTGTGTTAACTATAATAAACATTAAGGATTATTGCTTACTATTTGTGTTTATTATTATTAATTGTTTCTAAGGAATAAACTGAACTATAAACATTCTTAAGTTTATATTGGGTCTAAGTATCAACTAAAAACCTAAGAAATACAGAAAAAAATAAATCTATAAATATGATCTTAGACAACATACTTTAACCTCTCTCAAAGATAAATATAAAAGAGATTTGAACTAGATGAATGTCTGAGGTTCTTCCTAGCTTGTGTTTCTTTTATAATATAAGAAATGTAGAAAAGTTGTAAAAATTCTGTATCTTCAAGAGCAGATTGATGGTTACCAGAGGTGCAGGATGGAGGGTGGGTGAAGTGGTTGGAGTCAAAAGGTACAAGCTTCCAGTTATAAATAAGTCATGGGGATGTAATATACAGCATGGAGACTACAGTTAAAAATACAGTAAGTCCCTGACTTACGAACGAGTTCCATTCCAGGAGAACATTATGTCGGATTCGTTTTGAAGTCCGACAAAGTGAGTCTTTGCACTTCCTAGCAGTCCCCTTCACATCACCACTGCTTTTCCTCTTGCTTCCAGACATCCTGGGCTCTGATTGAGCACTGTACTGCTGTACACTATCGCACTGTACAGTAAGCACACAGCAGCACAACTATAACAATGTCTGGCAGACACGTGAGCTACTTCCGCTATTTGTTCGCATCTACGAATGTTCGTAATGTGAGGTTCATTCGTATCTGTGAAAGTTCACAACTCGAATGTTCGTAAGTTGAGGACTTACTGTACTGTAATGCAAATTGAAAGTTGCTAAGAGTAAGTCTTAAAAGTTCTCATCACAAGAAAAAAAATTTTTGTAACTATGTATGGTGACAGTGGTAGCTAGATTCACTGTGTTGATCATTTTGCAGTATCTACAAATATCGAATCATTGTATTGTACACCTGACACTAATATAATGTTATATGTCAATTATACCTCAATTTAAAAAGTAATATAAGGGGCCAGACGAGTGGTGCATTGGTTAAGAACTGGTTTGGGACGCCAGCTCTGAGCAGCAGGGCCCCAGTTCGGATCCCACATGTGGGCCAGAGACACTGCCCTCTACAGCTAAATGGTGAGCAACAGCTCGACGTGGAGCTGGGCTGCCGTGAGTCGCCAGCAACGGCGTAGGCTGCAGCCCCTGCGGCAGTGGGCTGCCATAAGCTACCGTGAGTGGCCAGCAGCCAGTGTGAGCTGCCAAGAGCTGCCATGAGCAGCCGTTCAGAAGCCGGCGGCGACCGATCTGCCTCACCCAGGAAGAGCGCAATGATAATACCAACATGGGCCAGTGAAGCAGCGTCCTCCACAACTAGACTGAAGAACAAAAGGACAGCAACTTGTCTGTTCTCCTTTCGCCAACAGGTGGCAGGATGGCTCAGCTAAAAAAAAAAAAAAGAAATTAATAATTGTTGAGAGTGTGCGTAATGAGAGATGTTGGCCTGTAAAATTACTGCATAAACGTGGCCCTAAGAACTGGTTGAGTGTAGGCATTCATGAATTTTAAGCTTGTTTATTAGCATTGTCAAATAATTTCATTATTTATAAATGTCATAAAACCTAGGGGGGGGAAAATCCACAAAACTTCTTACCTACATCAGTAGTTAACCGTAGCAATAGAAGTGCAAATAGTAACAAATAGTACAAACACTAACAAATCATGTATTTTAAGTATTCATTCTTGCAAAAGACATCAAGTAATTTTGTGATTTTCATCTATAGTGGAGGTTTCACAGATTTTGTTTTCTAGGAAGTATAAGGAGAGTGCTTCCTTAAAATCGCCATTGTATTGTTTGAACAGAAGAATATGCTTATGAGATAAATACAAACAGTGAGAGTAAACTCTTAGAAACTGTTTTAACAGTTTGACCTTGCCATGACACTTTTATTTTAGTTTATAAAGATATCAGCCTCGGCCGGCTGAGTGGCATGTTGGTTAACAGCTGGCTTGGGATGCCATCTGAGCAGCAGGGCCCTGGTTCGGACCCCACATAGGGGCCAGTGACACTGCCCTCTACAGCTAAGATGATGAACAACAGCTTGACCTGGAGTTGGGCTGCCATGAGTCACTGGCAACGGTGTAGGCTGCAGCACCTGCTGCAGTGGGCTGCCATAACTACCGTGTGTGGCCAGCAGCCGGTGTGAGCTGCCAAGAGCCGCTGTGAGCGGCTGTCCAGAGGCCGGCGACTGATCTGCCTCAGCTGGTAAGAGCACAATGATAATACCAATATGGGCCAGTGAAGCAATGTCCTCCACAACTAGACTGAAGAACAAAAGGACAGCAACGTGTCTGCTCCCCTCCCCCAATTCCCCAATAAAATCTTAAAAAAATAAATAATTTAAAACATAAATAAAATAAAAATATCAGCCTATAACAGAGTGGGGGAAAAAACTTAGTTTGATCATTGCTGCTTTATTTATTTTTTTTGTTTTTATTATTTTCTTTAGCTGAGCCATCCTGCCACCTGTTGGCAGCTCAGCAGCAGCCTAGCTCCGGCTGGGAATTAAACTGGCAACCCTGTTGCTCAGAGCTCACACTCTTGAGCGAGGTATTAACCAGCTGAGCCACTTGGCCAGTCCCATTGCTGCTTTAGATTGATACGCTGTATACCTCCTTTTCCAGAGTAATGTTTTGTTTTGTTTCATTTTTTCAGATGAAAACAATAAAGATACTGGTATAACCCCAAGGTTGAAATTTTGGGGTTTATCTGCATTTCTTTCATAATGAGTTATTGTCTCTCTAATTGGGGTGGAGGAGATAAAGAAAAGGAATCCTTAAAATTTTAGCATCAGTTTCTTCATCTGTAATGTAGGAGTAATAACTATCACATAGGGTTGTTGAATGAATCAAATGAGATCATGTAAAGGAAACACTTAGCACAATGCCAGGCAAGAGCTTTGTCAGTGATAACTAGTAATCCTGTTTTGTATTTGCCATTCTTTCTGGGTTGTGAAATTCCAAAGTTGGAGGATTTTAGTTATACATATCAATCCTACATATGAAACTTAATGAGGGTACAACTAAATCATCAAAAAATAAAATGAGGTCTATTTATTTCTTTAATTGTCACCTCATCTTCCTCATGTATGATTTACTCTAGCAAAAGCTGGTACTAATTTTTCAGTACAGTAATCCAAAATATATTTATCTGAGTACCTCTTCTTGTCAGCTTTGTGGTAGATTTCTTGAAAGCAGGAAATTTATTAGACATATTTATACAAAATCATAGGTGACTGTGGATCTAGATCTAAGTCCTGCCTGTTCCACTCATTAGCATTGAGACCTTGAATGAATTTTTTAGCCTCTGTAAAACTCAAGTTATTTTCTCAACTGCAAAATACTGATAATGAGAGTATCTACCTCAGCTTTATTGAGAGAATATAGTAAAGCTTGTAAAGCAGTTTTCACAAGATCTGGCATCAAATATTTAATAAATGTTAACTAATATCATTAATACCTTGTTGCCTTTGGATTTTAAATGCATCTGAATACATAATTAGCATACAGCATCAAGTGAAATTCCTTATATTTGTGTATCTCATGTATTTCATATTACATTACAAATAGCATGGTTGGTAAACACTTTTATGATGGTCGTTTTCTAGTGCCTAATATTGCCTTTTTATTTTATTTTAGTATTTTTAATTTATTTATTTTCATGCGGGAGTCGAACCGGCAGCCTTGCTGTTAATAGCGCAGGCTCTATCCACTGAGCCATCCCGGGGGCAGCTCAGTTCGAGATGCCGAGTTCGGTCCCAGCCGCTGGTGGGCACAGCCCACCATTGAACAGGCAGTCTTGTCATGAGGAGCATGTGCTCTCACGAACTGAGCCATCATGCCACCTGTTGGCAGCTTAGCATCAGCTCAGCTCGGGCGCAGCTCTGGCAAAGCTCACTGGCCCATGTGGGAATTCAACCAGCGACCCTGTTGCTCTTGAGCAAACTCTTAACTGAGCCACTTGGCCGGCCCCCTAATATTGCCTTTTTTAAAATATCTCTCAACATGAAAAAATGGCTAATAAATCTTTACCTATGTACAAAAGCCATTAGGCATTCCCTTTGATCTTTTTTATGTTTTCCTTTCTCACACCTTGACTACACACGGGTTACACCTATGCAGACCCCTCAGGGCGGTACCCTGAGCACTCGGGGATGATGGTTGGTTTGTTTCCCCAACATCCAGGGCAATGCCTTACATCTGGAAAGTGGTTAGTAAATGTTTGATTATGGAAGAAGCATTGTTTTTATTACTACACAGAGGCTTAAGATTTGTAATATATTATTAATTCTATACCAATAGCAAAAATTGCTATTTTTAGAATTCAACTAGAATTTATATAGAGATGCCATGAAGCTTCATTTTTAGTTATTAGTTGTATAGTAAAACAGGTGTATACCCACATGTTTTTACAAAATGGGATCATATGCCTCTTACTGACGTTTAGTTCTTAAAGCTAGACTTTGTTATGTAACTCATGACTGAAAAACCACTTATATGTTTATATTAAGTGTATTTTAATTTTGTAAATAAAAAGTAAAGTTTTAAATAGCTTGTTATCTGTGTATTATAATTTTGTTGGAGACTAAACTAATACTAGTTTCTGTAAGAAATATTCATAGAATCTAATCAGAATGCCATTTATATCTCTTTGTATCAAAATTCCCTGATTCTTTATTTAATAGGTTTTTTTATTTTAGGTGAAGCATCCCCTGGAGCCATTCCACAGTATAAAGAAAGGATACCTTCTGTCACTCATAGCCCGGAAATAATGGATTCATCAGAACTACGGCCATTTTCTAAACCAGAAATAGCACTGACAGAAGCCCTGAGGCTCTTAGCTGATGAGGATTGGTAAGTCCACCATTGTTAAAAATGAGCTGAGTTCTAAACGTTTTCTGTAAGTTTTTAATTAAAAACCTTGAAACATTTCCTATTAAAATAGTCTTAGAGGGCTGGCCCAGTGGCGCGTTGGTTAAGAGCTGGCTTGGGATGCCAGAGGACCCCAGTTCAGATCCCACATATGAGGGCCAGTGACACTGCCCTCTGCAGCTAAGATGCTGAACAACAGCTCAACCTGGAGCTGNTGACATTCAGGACATCAAGCGTAATATGACGACAGCTCTGATGGCCATTCCAGAAAAAGAGTTCCAAAATTGCTTTGAAGGGTGGACTAGGCACTGGCGTCGGTGCATAGCTTCCCAAGGGGAGTACTTCGAAGGTGACTAGTGATACTCAGCAATGAGGTATGTAGCACTTTTTCTAGGATGAGTTCAGAACTTAATTGTCAGAGCTCATACACCTTATTTTTAAAGGGCAAGGCTGCTACTTAGTAACTAAAAACTTGGGCAAATTGACCTTTTCTCTGTAAAATGGGGATAACAGTACCTCATAGAGTTCAGGGGCAGGTCACGTGTGTAAAGCATCTGGCCCTGAGCTGGCACAGAGCAGATGCTCACTAATAACTGGTGCCCTTCTTACACTTTCCTTTCTATCCTTGGGCTTGAATGTCTGTCTCCCCATTAGAATAAGATCGCTGGAGTGGGGTCTTGGGGAAGGAGTATCTGCCCGCGTCTAGTACAGACCTTGAGTCATCAGGTCTAAGCTACAGGGATCCTTCGCGCTCCAGCAGACAAGGACCTTGTATTAGGTTTGGGGACAAAGTCTCAGACACCGAGCATTTACTTGCCTTTTCTGTCCAACACACCCGAAGACTATAACCCGGCCATAAGTAACAAGAGCTCACCGGACTAGTGGGGGCTGGGAGGGAGGTGGTGGTGGCACAACCTCTCTGGGGACATAATTCAAAACAGGGGCAGCTTGTGTCATTTGTGAGAGTCCTTCCTTGAGAATTATTGCTCTGCAATCTATTCCATGACTAACTAGGATCTACTGTAGGAATGCAGGTATTTTTTGATTGCCAAGTTCTACAAACAAAGTGTTAGCACATTAATAGGTCAAGAAAATCCAAATGGGGCCGGCCGAGTGGCGCGTTGGTTAAGAACTGGCTTGGGACACCAGAGGGCCCCGGTTTGGATCCCACATACGAGGGCCAGTGACACTGCCCTCTGCAGCTAAGATGCTGAACAACAGCTCAACCTGGAGCTGGGCTGCCATGAGTTGCCAGCGATGGCATAGGCTGCAGCCCCTGCTGCAGTGGGTTACCATGGGCTACCATGTGTAGCCAGCGGCCAGCTTGAGCGGCCAAGCAGCCGCTGTGAGCGGCCGTCCAGAAACCGGAGACTGATCTGCCTCGCCCAGGAAGAGCGCAATGATGGTGCCAACTTGGGCCAGTGAAGCAACGTCCTCTACAACTAGACTGAAGAGCAAAAATTCATCCCCCAATTCCCCAATAAAAAATCTTTAAAAAATAATAATAATAATAAAAAATAAAAATAAAATAAAATAGTCTTAGAAATGATTATTTTAGTTCTTAGGTAGTCTGAGTATTTTTAAGCTTATTAATGTAGCTGAACTCTGGTTCTGATAACACCGTTTTACCATTTATGTTATAAGTCATATACCACAAGGATATAGGTTAGCTTTATTATGGATTACTCAAACATTTTGATGTTGGAATATAAATACCACCATTTCTCCAAATGTTTCTCTGTGAAGTATACCCGACAGCAATCCTGGAGATACTTACCTGTTCTACCGCAGCTGCAGCAGCCCCCAGCTAGCCCAGCTGACAACTGAAGGGAAACAAAAAGCCAGGGGCATCCCGCTTGCTTCAACTTGAGCATCCCCTGGCTGCCCTTGTCCCATTCCTTCCCCTTTTCCTTTAGCATCTTTCTCCATCCCCATCCTACACCTTATCATCAGTTTTTGCCTCTTCACTAGATCATATTCATCAACAGAAAAGGTCCTATAATATCTTTTATTTTTAAGAGAACTGCCAAAATTGCACATCTTCACGTTTCTTTCCTCCCCTTTTTAAAGAAAAAGTTCTTTAAAAGACTAGCTCATTGTCTCTACCTTTTCACCTCATGTTCTCTTCTCTTCTTTCATTGGCTTTCAACCCTCCCCATCATGACTACCACTTCACTAAAACTGCAAAAGTATGGGCCGGCCGAGTGGCACATTGGTTAAGAGTTGGCTTGGGACGCCAGCTCTGAGCGGCAGGGCCCCGGTTCGGATCCCACATTAGGGCCAGTGACTCTGTGCCCTCTACAGCTAAGATGGTGGACAACAGCTAGACCTGGAGCTGGGCTGCCATGAGTTGCCAGCGATGGCATAGGCTGCAGCTCCTGCTGCAGTGGGCTCCCATCAGCTACCGTGAGCGGCCATCCAGAGGTCGGCGACCGATCTGCCTCACCCAGGAAGAGTGCAATGATAATACCAACATGGGACGTCCTCCACAGCTAGACTGAAGAACAAAAGGACAGCAACTTGTCTGTTCCCCTTCCCCGATTCCCCAATGCTGTTCCCGTCCCCCAACGCCCCAATAAAATCTTTAAAAAAAAAACTTCAAAAGTGACCTTTTTACTAAATCTACACTGGTAATTTATTCGTCTTCATCATATTTAGCCTTTCAGCAACATTTGCTATAGTTGACATGCCCTTCTTGATAACACTTTTTTTCATTTCACCTTGGAAAAATCAGAGTCTCTTGATTCTTATTCTGCTTCAATATTTTCTTTGTTTCTTTCTTTCTTTTTTTTTTTTTTTTTTGAGTAATCTGCCATCTTGGTCCTTCCTTGACTGTGATCTCTGCTTTGGTATTTACTGATTCTTCCTAATCTATTTTACTTCAAAATTGAGTATTCCAGAATTAGTCCACTGGTATTCTCTATCCAGTCCATAGATCCAGGCTGGCAATCTTTTTCTATAAGAGCCAGACAGTAAATATTTTAAATTTTTCAGTCCAGGTTTTCTGTGGCTCAACTTTGCTTGTACAAAAAGCAGTCTTAGATAATCTGAAAACAAATATGTATGGCTTTGTTCCAATAAACATTACTTATAAAGAAAAACTTATAAAGAAAAATCTGATGGGGCCAGATTTGGTCTGTGAATCACAGTTTGCTAACTCCTTTCTTGAATGATTTCATTTAGTTCTGTAGCTTTAAATTTCATCCATACTCTGATTTCTCATAAATGTATATTTGGGTCCCTGGTATCTTCTTGAGCTCTAGACGTGTAGTTCAACTGCCTCCTGACACTTCCACCATTAATATTACCAACTAAGGAAATTCATCTTAGCTCACATTGTTCAACCCACAAGATGAAAACCATCAAGTTTGAAATGTTATGTCTAAATCCCACTTGAAATCCACCCACTTAGCATTAGTATTCACGTACCCTTCCTCTGGTTCATTACGTTAGATAATGTAAAAGAAATATAAATTACAGAACCATCAGGTGGTGGCTTTCTGTTCTTAGATTATATAGTCACCAACAAGGTAACAGATGGTTACTTTTCTCCTTTCATTTTTTATTCATTTCTTCCTTCACCTTTTGTTCACTGTTCATTTCCCTCTGTTCTCTATGGCATTCTTACTAGGGGAAAAATTATGTTCCTTTTTATTTACAAAGTATGAACTTAGTTTGTCAATACTGGTGTTGGCTTTTAAAATATCTTTTGAATCATGAAAGAGAAGTATTAGAGCAAACAAAACTTCACATATTTTTATTTGAGATTCCTACATGAAAAGGGACCACAGGCAAGGTTTCCTCATTGGCAATATTTCATGCACACAAAAAAAGACATCTTGTTCCAGTTGAACCGTATTTTAATAAGGTTTTTTTTCTTTTTCCCATAGGGAGAAGAAAATTGAGGGATTGAATTTTATTAGATGCTTAGCTGCTTTTCATTCTGAAATATTGAACACAAAGTTGCATGAAACAAATTTTGCAGTAGTTCAAGAGGTAAACTTATTTTGAGCTGAGTTAAGAATTGTTTAAATAACAAAGAATAAATATGCCACATTTATTTGACCTTTTAACAAAAGCTGAACTAAATAATATGAGTAGGCTTATATGTAAAGTAACTCATGCTGTATTTTGCAACATTTAAAAAAATTATTAAATATTTAAGACATAAGATAATACATATTAAAACATTACTTTAATAGTAAATTTGGTTTCAAAGTCATTATTACTGGTTTTCTTTCAGAATATCAGCAAAATGTACATTTTGGAAATTTTTTTTAGGTGAAAAATTTACGCTCTGGAGTTTCTCGTGCTGCTGTGGTCTGTTTAAGTGATCTTTTCACTTATCTGAAAAAGAGCATGGATCAAGAACTGGATACTACAGTAAAGGTTTTGTTGCATAAGGCAGGAGAATCAAATACGTTTATAAGAGAAGATGTTGACAAAGCGTTGAGAGCTATGGTCAGCAACGTAACTCCTGCACGTGCAGTCGTTTCTCTTATCAATGGAGGACAGAGGTAATGTTCAGAATAATCTTGATATGTCCTTAAACAGAAATGCAGCTGTTTGTAATCTGGGGTGTAGAAAAAACAAGCAAATTGCAGTATTATTTCAATTGAAAACCATTTATTTAAATAATTTGTATGTGATAAACATCATATTAAGTGCTGAGTGTACAAAGAATAATGTTGTTATTCTTATAATGTTACCTACATTCATAGATCTGGAACTAAGTAAGTGTTAGTGATGGAGGGTTTTTGGAGGGGTTTTGTTTTTGTTTTTAACCTCTTGGCGAGGGGTAGCTAATGCAAATAGTGTGTCATTTTAACTTTCAAGGGTGATGAACGTTAGGAGTAGTTTAATCATTTGACTAATTTTAAAGGTATATCTTTGGAAGATTGTTCATGCATCAGCTTTGTTTTAATTGACCCTGTTTCCTTATAGCCATTTACACATTGCAGTAAGAAAATGTACAGCCCAGCATTTATCAGATGTGGTGGAATTCATGGAACTGGAGCGTATTTTATCTGGAACAAAAGATTTGGCTGACCGTATATTGCCAGCCGCTGCTAAGTTCGCTCAGGACAGCTCACAAGAAACCAGGTGAATAGCTGCTAATAATATTTGCTGAATCTCTTGGTAAAAGGGCTTATAAGAAAGAAACAAAGGTTTAAAAAGAATGAACATTTTTCTAAATAGACAAGTGGGGTCCCCAGGGATTGGTGCTGGAGGTTGGTCTTCTCTAACCAGTTTGTGAGTGATCCTGAGGAAGTGCACAGGGCATTCTCCAAACTTACAGCTGACACCACTTACTTCCAGGAAGTGAAATGCTATGTCACAGGGAGGGCCTGCATGAGAGCCGCACAAGACTGTGTGAGTGGCCAGAAAAGTGGCAGGAGAACTTCACTGTGGGCCAATGTAAGGTAATGCGTTTAGGGGGAAAAGATATATTGGGTTGTCAGAAAAGTCATGACACATTTTTGCAACGAAAAACATAGTAAAACTATGTCATGAATTGTATGATAACCCAATATTTTCCACGCAGTCAAGTAAAATCAAGGAAATAGGTGTATATGAAAAAATAGATAGCAAAATGAATAGCATGTATCTCCTGAAGCATGAGATATCTGCACTTAGAAAACTCCATGAATTTCTGACTGCTGTCTGTGCTTGAAGAACGTTTTAATGAAGGTTAAGAACAGTCCAAGAAAGATTACATAATTAAGATGATGACAGAAATATTGGACGTAGTCAGAAGCCTAGGTTTAATTCCTAGCCCCAGTCGCTGTTTGCTTTTAAACAAGTTACTCAGCCCCTGTTAGCCTGTGTTTCCTTGTCTATAAAATTAGGAAGGTTGGACTAGATGATTGATAATGTTTCATACAAAATCAAAAAAATTAAGGCAGTTTTATATGAAGTTATATTAAAAGGGGAAAGGGAGAGACCTGAGTTCATAGAGGTTAAAGTAGAAAGGATATCAAATTTTTAACATTTTAGGGTCAGCCGATTAGCTCAGTTGGCTAGAGTGCAGTGCTCATAACACCAAGGTTGCCAGTTCGATCCCCATATGGGCCACTGAGATGCGCCCTCCACAACTAGGTTGAAACAACTACTTGACTTGGAGCTGATGGGTCCTGGAAAAACACACTGTTCACCAATAAATAAATAAATAAATAAATAAAATTGGGGAAAAAAACCATTATATCAAAAGCTAATATAGATGGTAAATGTATTCATTTTTTATTGCTGCGTAACAAATTAGCACAGATATAGTGGTTTAAGGCAACATAGATTTTGGGTTTTTAGCTTACTGTTTAGGTTAGAAGTCTGGCATGGCTCAACTGGCTTCTACTTAGGATCTCAGAAGGTGGACATCAAGGTGATGACAGTGCTAGACCCTTATCTAGGGGCGCTGTAAAAGAATCTGCTTACAAACTCATTCAGGCTGTTGGCCAAACTTAGTTCTTTGTGGTTACAGGACTGAGATTCCCATTTCCTTGCTGGCTGTCAGCCAGGGTCCTTTCAGCTCCTTAAGGCCACTTGAATCCCTTGTCATGCAGCCCCCTCCAACTTCAAGCCAGCCAACAGCATGTCGAATTCTCCTTGTGCTTAGAATCTCTCCAACTGCCTCATCTGCTGCCAGGCACAGAAAGCTGTCTGCTTTTATGGGCTCATGTGATTAGATTAGATCCAGATAATTTCCCCATCTTAAAGTCAGCTGTACCATATAACATAACATAATGCTGGAAGAGCAGGACATCTTTGAGGAACCATTTTAGAAGTTCTGTATGCCATAGCAGTGTTCAAAACAGCTTAGTGTAGGGTTAGAGCATATACAAGTAGACTGGTTAGGAGCAAAAAAAGATTCATAATGGTTGTTTTGTGTCTTAACCTTTCCTTGATGACATAGTATCTTATAATCTATTTGTCACTGCTTAGATTTTTATTTGAAGTTTTAAAATTATAAGATGGTTACAACTTTCCAGTTTTGATATTTGTCCCATTTTGTGTCCCTATTGCTTGCTTGTTTGTTTTCTCCATTCCCATATCATTAGGACAGCTAGTAAGCCTGTATCCTTAACATTCTGGGCTAAAAGTTAGAATCATCTGAAACTATAGCTGATTAGGAGCTACCTTTCCAGATATAGACATTATTCTGGTTATGGGGAGAGAAAAAGTAATTTTTATTCTCTGATATTATCTCCCTTTCTGTAATTTCATTATATTGAGTTGTTGGAAAAGTCATGACGCATTTTTGCAATGAAAAACATAGAAAAAATACGTCATGACTTTTCCGACAACCCATTATTTGAGAGTCTGGCTGATATGGGTGATACTGAGATCATCCATATACCCCTCCTCAAAAGCCTTGCCTTCTCTGTTCTAGTCCCATATACATATTCGAAGTTATAGGCAAAAAGATAACTGTAATTTATTTTAGGGCCAAACCTCCTTGGATAAGGTATTGTTATGAGATACTATAAGATCCCTCTATCCAAAAATACCTCCGATGTATACTTCCATGATATTGGAGGTTCTACCATTAGAATGATATCTTGGATTAAGGTATTATTCTAAAAGAATTATTTTAAAATTCATAGAACATAAAAAAAGCTAGTTTGCAGAACATTACACATTCATTATTATACCAACCACAATTTATCAACTATCTTTGGGTGTATTTAGGTAGCAGAGAATGGGTTTTTGAAGAATTGGAACCCAGGTAAGCTGTGGCTCGAAAAAAAGAGACAGAGGGTCAGAAATACAGAATGTAGGGAAGGTCAAGTCAGGCCCAAACATCTGGCCAACAGACGAGCAGCAAAAGGTCACTGGGCAGGGAGCCCAGGACGAACATAAGACTTCTCCTAACTCGCAATTCTGCCAAGTGCCAGCCTTGACATGGACCCAAGGTGCCTGAAAAATAAAATCAAAGCTTTTGGCTCTTCATCTGATACATAGCTGTAGTATTTTTAAAAGGCGACGGGCAGGAGAATGCTATACTTGCTAGTCCAGTTACTATAACTACATTTCAGTACTTACTTAAAATAGGGATGGTAATCTTGATGTTGATAGGTCTTTTTCTGTTGAAAAATAAGGACAGAAACTGAGCTTATTAAGATATGTTAAATTATTTACATATTTCTCAAATATCTCTAGGTATTATGGTCGAAAGATGCTTTTTCTCATGATGTGTCATCCTAACTTTGACAAAATGCTTGAAAAGTATGTCCCATCTAAAGATTTGCCATATATTAAGGAATCTGTTAAAAGCTTACGGCAAAAGGTATGTGGAAAAAGTTTATTTTATAAACAACTTTCAAAGCAAAGTTTATTTGCCCAGGAAGGTAAAGGATAGAAATAATTACTTCTTCGATTATTTCTGTTAACCATTTTGAATATATCTGCCATGGCATTTCAGTAGCTGTAGTACTAAGTAGACATTCACAGTGTCAGTCAAAGTTTATTGAACAGAAACTTGATATTTGATAGAATATAGTGTGGCTTATTGGAGACTTAGGTTTGAATCACAACTCTGAAAATTACCAACTATATATAATTTAGGCACATCATTTCTTTAACCAGAATTTTTATTTTTATAAAATGAGGATAGTGATGCTTATGATGCCGGGTGCCTCCCTTATTTACCTTGCATGTTCCACTATTTGAGCTCCCACCACACTGCAGTGCATTAATAGGGAGCTCCTTGAGGGGAAGCCCTATGTCTTATTTATCCTAGTCGATAATGGGATTCAGAAATGTCTGTGAAATCAGTGACCGAGGGAATACCAAGTGAAATAAAATGTGAAATTGTCTTATAAAAGAGTATTTCATTTACATATTATTTTTTGTAAAACTATGTTTCGTAATATAAAATTTTTCTACGTTAACTGATGTTATTCCTCTCTGATAACCTTGGGCAAAGGATTAACTTATAAAAGGATATTTCAGAGATGTATAGTAAATATACATTTCAGAGCATGTTTTTTCTGCCTATTGATGTTAAAGATTTCAGCTTAATTCCTATAAAACTTATTAAAATAACCATGTAAAAAATTATCTTACTCAAAAGAGGCAGATTATATTTGTGAGTCATTTTAAGTATAAGTATCAGGGGAAAAAAAGAGGTTTTAAATAGTTCTTATCGAAATGTTTAATCTCACACTGGTGTTCCATAGGAATTCATTGTTTGTGTAATATATGCATATTTTCTATATATGTTTTAAGGTTTAAGAAGAGTAGTTATAAAATATAGCATATAGCATAAATTAATTTTTAAAATGATAAACACTTTTACCAAGCCAATATATTTTCCTATTAATTAGTCATATATTTTGTTAGTTTACTACTAATCACAAGGTAGTTTATATATACCTGATACCCTTTAAAGCATAAGCATAGCAGATTAATAAAATATTGGGTCGTCGGGAAAGTCATGACGTATTTTTCTATGTTTTTCAATGCAAAAATGAGTCATGACTTTCCTGATGACCCAATACTTTGAATCTTAAAAATGATCAATAATGGTTTCTGTGAAAATTACATTTTATGAGTTATTTCACTTTAGTTTTAAGGCTTTTATTATACTAACTTCTTTATATTTACTTATAGGGTTTGGGAGATTTACCACTAGATACTCCTTCAGCAAAGGGAAGACGATCTCATAATGGCGGTGTTGGAAATACAAGGTCATCATCTGTTTCTAGAGATGTTTTCAATTCAGCCGAAAGGTAGGATCATTTGATAGCCCACATCATTAGAGAAATTACTCCCTGGTGGTAGCAGTCTCATTTGGATGTTTTCATGAGGTATCCCAGAGGTATTTGTCAAAATATAATGGAGTTGTAAAAGTTGTTGAGGACTTAGAAAGTGTGAGATAATTAGATTGAATACGCAGTTATATACTCACAGCAACTTGCTTTTACATGCATTCAACATAAGTAAAGCTTCAGTGTTATTGAACTTGTCAATATTAGGTTTTTGTTGGACAACTTTGATTAATTTTTTTTATTATAGCCTTTACTTTTTTCCTTTGATTATAAAAGTAATACATAATTATGGTTAAAAAAAAACTTTACAAAATACAAACATTAAAAGAAGAATTTAACCAGTCACCTATAATACCATCAACCAGTAAAAAAACTTTTAAAAATTTTATAGTATGACATTGGGGGTTGGGGAAGTGGGGCGGCGGATTGGGGGTGGGGGTTGTCACTTCAAGGGGTAAAATGTATAACTATTGCACTGTGTTGACCAGCTGAAACTAATTCTAAAAAATGTGTATTTCATAATAAAAAATAATTTAAAAAATTTTATAAATATAATTGTATATGCAGTTGTCTCACCTGTTTAAGCTCTAACAACATTTAATAGATTGATTATATTAATATAACTTAAAAAATATCTTTCAAAAGTATTATGATCTCTGGTATATTTTTAAGTATATTTTAAACATTCTTTTAAAACTGTATGAGTATGTAAGTATATTATATTTTCTGTATTTGTATAACTTTGAAATATTTTATAAACTAAAATAGTAAATTTTATAAAAGAGGAAAATTCATGTGACAATATATGCTTTGGGCACCTTGCTATTCAAAGTACAGTTCACGGAACAGCCACATTGGCATCACCTAGGAGCTTATTGGAAATGCAAGATCTTGTACTCCTAAATCCAAGCCTAAATCAGAATCTGCCGTTTTCCCACATTAAGATATAATCACATAAGATCCTGGATCAGATATTTCAGTCAAAAATCTTTTTTCACACCCAACAAAAAAATGCTTTTCTAAAATTTATTGAGAGTATACTGTGTTTCAGGCTTTTTCTAAATACTTTACTAGCTAGTTATTTATTTTGTAGATGTCTCTCAGTTTGGGTTTATCTGATATTTTTTCACAGTTTGTTTAGGTTATGCAGTTTTGACAAGAATACTACAAAAATGATGTTGTGTCCTTCTCAGTGCATCATTTTGCAAGGCGGATGATGTTATTTTATGTCTTATTACTTTAAATGTTAACCTTGATCACTAGGTGAAAGTGATTTCTCCTGGGTTTCTTCACCACAAAATTACTATTTTTCCCCTTTGTAAATAATAGCTATCTTGGCATACTTTGAAATAGTCTATTTCTCATCATACATTTGCACACTAATTTTAGCAACCATTGATAGATAGAAATTATCGTGGTTTTTTTTTGGTCTAATGGTGATCTACTTTTTCCCTTATTCTACATTTATGAGTTGAATTTTTCTGGAAAGAAAAACTGCTACTTTTCCTGCACATATTTGTTTATTCAAAGGTTTATTATTGTGGATTAATAATTTTTATTTTATTCTGTGGGTTATACTCGTAGATTACTGTTCCTAAATTATTTGAGCAAGCAATATGGTTTATCCTGAAGTCCTGCTTTCCTTTTGGGAGTCGGGGATTGTGGAACTTCCTAGGCAGAGAACCAGCCACGACCAGCTCCCAATAAAAACCCTGGGCACTAACTATCTAATAAGCTTCATTGGAAGACAACATTTCACATGTGTTGTCACAATTTGTTGCTAGAGGAATTAAGTTTGTACTGTGTGACTCTAGTGGGAAAGGACCCTTGGAAGCTTGCATCTAGTTTCCTCCAGACTTTGACCCATGCGCCTTCTCCTTCTGCTGATTTTGCTTCCTATCCTTCTGCTGTGATATATCTTAGCCATAAATAAAACCACATGGTGAACCCTGTGAGTCCTGCTAGCAAATCATCAAACCCCGGGGAGATCTTGAGGGTGCCAACACAAGTATTTGTGGCTATGGGATAGATCATTTTGTGAATTTTTAGAAAATGAATATATAATGAGAATTATTTAACATGTTTTTAATAGGAAATTAATCATGAAATTAAATTTACCTCTCTTTTACTTTAGCGAGGCAACTGAAATTCGTGAAGTCACCAGAAAATCAGTTCCCCGTAATTCCTTAGAAAGTGCTGAGTATATTAAAGTCATAACCGGTTTATTGAATGCAAAAGACTTTCGTGACCGTATTAGTGGGATCAAGCAGCTTTTATCAGATACTGAAAACAATCAGGAACTTGTTGTTGGGAACATTGTGAAGGTAAGGATGTGGAAAATTAATTTTCATTTTCAATCGATGGCTAATAAAGTTTATTAATATAAAAAGTTGCCCTAAATCTTAGCATTTTATGTGTATTATTTTAAGTTTTAAAATAAACAGTGAAAAGAATGGATTACTTAGGTTTAGCTTTTTTAAAAATATTCTACAACAATTCAAAGTAATTGGTAAAAATAAGTAAGAAAATAATTGCTTATTTGTATGAATCCTCTCACTATGGTAGCTCCTTGAAAGATCTTGGAACCTGGCATACAGTAAATATATGTTGAGTGAATCAATAAGTATTTTAAAAAGCAGAGGATTTAAGAGACTTGGTATTACTTTAGAATAGATATTAAAATTTTTCATATAGATGTAGGGTGTAGACATCTAAATATACTAATTTATATATCTACCTTTAGGAAAACAAGAAACAATAGAAAGAGATAGTAAAAATGTTAGTGGTATTAGAGCATAGACTATTTATGCTTCATCACAGTTTAGTTTAGTTTAGTTCGTTAGTAATTTATTAATTAAATTCTATTTAAAATTAGTATTATGTGCATTAAACTTGGCAAACATATTAAAACTACTCTTTTTTTTTTAAAGATTTGGGGAATTGGGGGAGGGGAACAGACAAGTTCCTGTCCTTTTGTTCTTCAGTCTAGTTGTGGAGGACATCACTTTACTGGCCCATGTTGGTATTATTATTGTGCCCTTCCCTGGTGAGGCAGATTTGTCGCCGGCTGCTCACGGCAGCTCTTGGCAGCTCACGCCAGCTACCAGCTACTCACGGTAGCTTACGGGAGCCCACTGCAGCCCCACTGCAGCCTACGCCATCGCCTGCGACTCACGGCAGCCCAGCTCCAGATCAAGCTGTTGTTCACCATCTTAGCTGTAGAGGGCGCAGCATCACTGGCCCATGTGGGATCCGAACTGGGGCCTTGCTGCTCAGAGCTGGTGTTCCAAGCCAGCTGTTAACCAATGCGCCACATGGCCGGCCCAGGGAAGATTATTCTTAACATGAAAAAATTATATATATCAGGAATTGTTAGTTAATAGTCTCAGCCTCAGAGAATAGCTCTTGACTCACCTGACGTGACATGAGAATTGCTTAGCCTTCACTTTATTATATATTTTATTTATGAAAGTTAAGAATTCTGAAGAGCAAGAAATAATTGTTAAAGTAATTAGATTGAGGTAATAATAAAAATTTAACTCTGAAATTGCATCCAAAATTCTCATAAGAAACATAAGCTAAAATCTCTACAGTAAAACGTTCATGTCTACTTCTGCTATAAATAAAAATAGAAACTTTTCTTAAGTTCTTAGAGTTAGCTAAGTTAACCTACGCTTTTCAGAAAACAGCATTTTTATCACATTTACAGTAAGCCATCTGTCTACTGAGTCAAATTTCTCAAACTTAATTTATTAGGATGTCTTTTGGGATAATTTTTGAAGCCTTGTCTTTTTGCTATAAGAAAATTTGACACTGAGATTTATCATCCAAATTTTTATAAAGTTCCTATTTTTCTAAATTCAGGTTAAATAAGGTGTGTGTGTGTGTGTGTGTGTGTGTGTGTGTGTGTGTGTGTGTGTGTTTAAATAGTATACTAAAGGAGAAATACTACTGTGAAATGCCAAAGAGAATTTAAATGTAATTGCTATAAACAGTATCTCACTTTAAATAATTTACCACTTACTTTCAGATTTTTGATGCTTTTAAATCTCGACTTCATGATTCCAATAGTAAAGTAAATCTGGTGGCTCTAGAAACAATGCACAAAATGATTCCTTTGCTTAGAGACAGCTTATCTCCTGTAATCAACATGCTAATTCCAGCAATAGTAGATAACAATCTGAATTCCAAGAATCCAGGCATCTATGCTGCTGCCACAAATGTTATTCAGGCACTGAGTCAGCATGTGGGTAAGAAATCTTACTTTGGCGTCCAATTTCTTTTACTTTACTTCTGCACTTTCTAATTCTACATATTTTTTATAATGCTGAAATCCTAGCTATTCAATTTTTGTCATTTAATGTTGTCATAAAATTTTTTCATTTTGTTAGTAGCATTTTTATTTACTTTTAGTGATTAAATGTTATCCCATTAAATTGACTTTTTCTTTCCTTATCTTTGACTTTTGAGTTCCGGTTTTTTTTCTATCTCAGCCTGACATCTCATACAAAATTAACTCAAAATGGATCATAGATTTAAATGAAAACCTTAACTGTAAAACTTTTAGAAGATGATCACATAGGAGAAAATCTTTAGGACCTTAGGGCTTGGTGAAGAGTTGCTAGCCTGACACTAAAAACATAATCATAAAAGTTGATAAATTGGACTTCATCAAAATCATTTGCTGTGCAAAAGACCCTATTAAATGGATAAAGTGACAAACTACAGATTGGGACAGAATACTTACAAGCCACATATGTGACAAAGAACTCATATCTAGAATATATAAAGAACTCTCAAAACTCAACATTAAGAAAAAACAATCCAATTAGAAAATGGGCAAAAGACATGAAGAAACAATTTACTGAAGAGGATTTATGGATGGCAAATAAAGACATGAAAAGATGTTCAGCATCACTAGTTACTAGGGAAATGCAAATGCAAATTATATCATGATCACTACAAAAGTATCTTAGTCTGTTAGGGCTGCTATAACAAACTACCACAGACTGGATGGCTTCAAAACAACAAACATTTATTTCTCATGGTTGTGGAGACTGGGGAGTCCAAGATCAAGGTGCTGGCAGATTCAGTGGCTGGTGAGGGCCCACTTCCTGATTCATAGTCGGCCATCTCACATGGCAGAAGGGGCAAAGGAGCTCTCTTATAAGGTCACTAATCCCTTTCATGATGGCTCTACCTTCATGGCTTAATCACCTCCCAAATGCCCCATCTGTTAATACTGGCACATTGGAGATATGGTTTCAACATATGAATTTGGTGGGGGACACAAATGTTCAATGTAGCAAGTATAACAGCTAAAATAAAAATTATTGACAACAGCGAATGCTAACAAGGTTGCAGAGAAACTGGATCTCTCATATATTGCAGGACAATGTAAATAAAATGGTATGGCCATTTTAGAAAATAGTTTGGCAGCTTCTTTAAAATTAAACATGCAGTCACCATATAACCCATCAATTGCATTCCTAGGTGTTTATCCCAGAGAAATGAAAACTGTCCTTGCAAAAACCTGTACACGATTGTTAATAGCAGCTTTATTTGTAATAGCCAACATCTGGAGCAACCTACATGCAATTCAGTGGGTTAATGGTGAAACAAACTGATGCATTCATACCATAGAATACTACTTAGTAATAAAAAAAATTGAACTGTTGATACACAGCACAATTTGGATTGACCTCAAGGGCATTATGCTGAGTGAAAAAAGCCAGTTTCAAAAGGTCACATGCTGTAGGATGCCATTTGTATAACCTCAGAGTGACAAAATTACACAGATGGAAATCGGATTAGTAGTTGTCAGGGTTTAGGGGCAGTTAAGAAGGAGAGACTGCATGTGACTCAAGAGGTAGCACTAGGGAGATCTTTGTGGTGATAGAATAGAAAAATTAGAGAAGATAAAAACTACCCCCAAAAAAGCAATTCTCCTTTTCTGTTTTTTTATAAACTTCTATAGTACTCTATTATTTAGAGTAAGATACCTAGGAGATAGGCAGGTTTTACAGAGAATTTTAAATAGTGATTAAGTAGGTAGATTAAAAAATCTCCTTAACACATTTGCAATCATTTTCATATTTCTTCCTTTCAATGCTATGTTTATGTAATGGAACATAACTAAGATCTAACTCTTAAGACATGTCTCTGTGTTCTTTTTGTTTAGACAATTACTTACTTCTACAGCCGTTTTGCACAAAAGCTCAGTTTTTAAATGGAAAAGCAAAACAGGATATGACTGAAAAGCTTGCTGGTAAATATTTTAAATTGTTATTTCTAAAGAAATGTTTTGTTAATTAAGGATAAGCTGATGGGTATTAAATTTTATTTTTAGTATAGCTACCAAATTCAGTATCATTATCTATGAAGTAGAAATAAATTATATAATGATCCACAAGAGGACTTTTTAAGACTTTTACCCTAACAATTATCTTGAAAAGAATTTTATTCGTTTTTTTCCAGTGTTTAGTCTGCCTGTTAGTAGAAATAAACAGGGTAAATAAAAAGAATTAAAATCAAATACTAGTTTTCATAGAAAACTTCTCTTTCAAATTATGTGTTTGATAAAAGGTCCATGGGTCGAAAATGTATAAATTTTTAATAAACTGCATTTGGAAAACATTGAGATGAATTTGGGGTTTGATTCCTGCCTTTACTATTTTTGCCTGAACTAATCATCATATATGGAATTCTAATAGGTTACAGTCCCAATCTTTGGGAGGAAAGTTTCTGACCTACTACTTTTAAGATGCCTAACATTTTAGAAAAATGTCATTGGGGAGAAGTTTAATATGTATTTTATATGCTTTTTAATTAGCAGATCTTGAATTAATTTTTTTAAACGCCTCAATGTTTACCACATTTTTGTGTTTCAGATATCGTTATGGAACTCTATCAAAGGAAGCCCCATGCCACAGAACAGAAAGTGTTGGTTGTTTTATGGCATCTCTTAGGGAACATGACAAATAGTGGCTCTCTGCCTGGAGCGGGAGGAAATATACGAACAGCCACAGCTAAATTATCAAAAGCACTTTTTGCACAGATGGGCCAGAATCTGTTAAACCAGGCTGCATCTCAGCCACCACATATCAAAAAGAGTTTAGAGGAATTGCTCGATATGACAATTTGAAATGAATTATGAATCTTTCATGAAATATGGTATGATGAACAAAACTGTTTACATGGTGACAAATGGAACTTTTTGAAGTTACATTTTCAGTGCCTGCACTTCTCATTTAGTAAATTAAGTCAATGGCTATTTTTCTTCTCAGCCTCTGAGTACACATCTGTCCTATATCAACCCTACCCCTTGTACCCATCACACAAAAACCTAAAATAATTAACACAACCTAATATTCTTGAAATCTGAGGCACGTGGAATGAGTCCAATTTTAGTATTTTTGAGAAAAGTCCTGCTCATTTGCACTATCCTAGATAGAAACCGCAATTTGTTGCCCTATATGTACAATTAGATTTGTAATTAAAAATATACTTTTTATTATGTAATCATGTTCTGCTATGTCTCATTACTCAGTCTTACTTTATGAAGTGGAAGAAAAGTCATTGAACTATGTTATCACAAAGTTTTGTGTGCTATTTGTGAAAAACATGTATTTCTCCAATCAGTCCGCTAATATGATTGTGCAGTATTAGCTTGCTTATGCTGTTTTGTATTCATGTGATATATTTGCTTACCACTTGGGTTTAATCACCTACATAATTGTGAAATTTAACAAGTTATAATAAAGCATGATGACCAAAGTTTTAAGAAACATTTAAACATTTTAAATGCACGTTTAAGAAAACGTGTTGAATGTAACTTCCCTATTTTTTGTGCAAACACTAAATTTTATTTCTATATGCCCTGACATTTATAAAGGTGTTATTTTGCTGCCCAGTTGTGTAATTCTCAAAAATAGTGCCAGGTATTCTATAGCTTTTCTCAGAATTCTTGGGCTACAAGTACTGTATGCATCTTTAAAAAGAAAAGGAATGTTATAAAATAAAAGGATTTATTTCTGTAGATGTGTGAGAGGTGTCCTATTTTTCCAACTTCCATATATGTTAAAATGGAAAAAAATATTTAATTTTGACTGATCACTTTTACTTGATATGCTTGGTATAATATTGACCTATCTCTATTGACCTGTGTTACATAGTTCTAGCTTTACAGGAAAGTAGCTGTGTGACCTTATGCAAGCCACTTGTCAGATCTAGTCTCAGTTTTCTCATCTCTAAAATGTAAGGGCTGGACTAGATGATTTTTAAGGTCTCATCTTATTCTAAAATTCTATGATTCTATGTTGTAGTTTATACACTGTATTAGAATTGAGGACTATTTTCATTCTTTTTCACCTCTTTTATCACTGACCAGTTTTTTTTGTTTTTGGTTTTTTTTTTAAAGATTTTTATTGGAGAATTGGGGGATGGGAACAGTGCTGGGGAATTGGGGGAAGGGAAACAGACAAGTTGCTGTTGTTTTGTTCTTCAGTCTAGTTGTGGAGGACGTTGCTTCACTGGCCCAAGTTGGCACCATCATTGCGCTCTTCCCAGGTGAGGCAGATCAGTCGCCGGCTTCTGGATGGCCGCTCACACTGGCTGCTGGCTACACACGGTAGCCCATGGCAACCCACTGCAGCAGGGGCTGCAGCCTACGCTGTCACCGGCGACTCACGGCAGCCCAGCTCCAGGTTGAGCTGTTGTTCAGCATCTTAGCTGTAGAGGGCAGTGTCACTGGCCCTCATATGTGGGATCCGAACCGGGGCCTCTAGCATCCCACGCCAGTTCTTAACCAACACGCCACTCGGCAGGCTGGAGGGGGGAAAAATATTTTAATGAAATATTTACCCAATAGATCCCATATCATTTAGTCATTAAAGTGTGAAATACTTTAATCACAGGACAATGTTCATAATGTGTTAAAGAGCCTAACTACAAATTACAGAGTCCCTATTTATCAAATATCTATGTACACAGAAAATAGAACTGGAGTTATAGACACCAACATGTTAATGATAGGAAACCATGGGTAAAGAAGTTATTTTATTTTCAGCATACTATTCCGCTGTTTCTATTTTTTTCAGAAATGAGCAACATGCATTGCTTATGGAATAAAATTTAAATAAGTGAAGGTAATCTGAAGAGAATCTGAAAATAAAGGTAGAGTGAAAAGAAAAAATTGGCAAATGAGAGAAACAGTAGGAAATATTGGAAAGTACTAAGGGAAGTAGTGATGACTAGAAGGGAGATTAGTGAGGAAAGGAAGCTATTATAAAGGTAAAAAGCATAAGACTGATTCAGAAAGCATGAATTTGAAACCTGGTTTTATTATTACCTGCCAAACTTTACATATATCCTGGAGTTGTTGTGAGGTCTAAAATTAAAATGGGATTATGTATAAAAAATCATTTGTAAACCTCGAGTTCTCTGGAAAGGTAACTTATTCCCAGCAGCAAATGAAGATGAAGACAGATGAGCAGAACCCCTATAGAAATCTTTAGTGCTGGGATAAGCTGAGCCTACTTATTTCATTGCTAGTTAGCTGGCTGAATATGTCAAGTGAAGGCAAAACCAAGCACTGTAGTATTATGAATGATTTATAGTCTCGTAATGTGTACTGTAAAAGAGAACTTAATTATACTTAAACTTCTTTGGGCAGAACAGGGCAAGCAGAGACTTAAAGGCAGTAAATTGCAGATTTAGCAAAGTAGTGATATATATATCACTGTGGGTTAGGAGTTTGGGGTCATGTTAGGAGCTGGTTGGTTAGAGTTGAGGTAAGGGTCATGAATCATTACATATATATATATATATATATATATATATATATATATATACTGAAACATGGAATATATGAGATATTATGTAAAATGAAAACAGAATGATCTGGTGTTACCAAATTATGACCAATCTTGAATGACTTTTTTTTCACCACTATGCCTGGAACAGTACCTTGGCCTGTACTGGGTGCTAACTAAATAGAACTTTAATAAAATGGTAAATGACATATAAGTTTGAAATTTATTCTGGAGACAGGACGCAATGTTTTCAGGATTGGGAGTGGTGTGTTTCACATAACCAGTAGCATAGGGATAGTTAGAGTGAGGAAAGGATATAGGCAAGAAAATCAATTTGGAAGCACTGATCAGAAGCCCACCCATGGCAAATGGATTTCATTAAATGTTCCAGCTTAAAGGGTTGATAGTGCCTGCCTGTGCGATGTATTGAAAAAAGATTGTGAGTTTACATCAAGTTTCAATAAGAAGGATTGTAGTGCTTTATCTCAGATGGGCTCAGCCATCCTCTGTATATAGTAAAGGTCTAAACTGTAGTAGCAGTGAGAAAAGAATGGATCTGAAAGGTATTCTGGTGATAGGACTAAACTGAACTGATGACACACTTAGATTTGGAAGATAAAGGAGTCAGCATTCAATGACGTTTGTAACACTAGTGAGTTTCTGTAGTGAGGCTTTGCTTTTTTATTTAGGAAAGAACGCCCTTCATGTGGACTTCTACCTACACCTCTTTGGCCATGCTCAGATTCAGAGGAGACTGAGAAATTATTTAATTCCTAGTCTTAATAGTAGAGGAAGATAGTAGGGAAAGTAGTGGGAATGGATATGAGTGATCCAACCTATCATCTGTTATATGCTAAAGCACCAACCCACTCTGTCTGATGAAACAATGGCATTCTATGTATGCCTGCAGAAATTGATATTAGTTTAGAACCAGTGTCTAATAAATTCTGAAAAGTCAGCACATTCTTCCCAGTGTGAAGTTACCTTGATAAGTATCCAAAAGTCTCTTGGGTGGAGGGTTAGTGTTATAGAACAGAAAGAGTTCGTCCACTCAGTGCTAGCAGAGCCAAACACAACACCAAGAATTGCAGTGGAGAAATACTGGCTATTTTATTAAAAATGGCGCCATGCAGGAGACTAGGAGGCTAATGCTCAAAAGCCCAAATTCCCTGATGACATGTAGGTTACAGAATATATAGGGCAAAATCACAAGACACGAAGGGTTAGGGGTTTGGCGTCATATTGGGAGCTGATTGGTCGGGGGTGAGGTAAGGATAATGAATCATTTCTTCAGATTTTGAGAACAACTCTGAGGTCTTCTTCCAGAGTCCCTGTGTTCAGCCTCATGGGAAACTGGCCAGGGGATTGTTTCACCTTAGGGCTCAAGAGCTGAAACGTAACTTAGGTTGAGGTTGCTGATTATCCAAAGAAAAGCTAGGTCTCTGAGGAGCAGAGAGAGAGGGATATGATTTCTCGAGCTAGGATTTAAAAGTAAATTTAATCAAAGTCATAAGGACCCTCGGTTTCAATGGGAAGATTATTCACAGAGATATTACTGTAGAATTCTTTTTTAGGGTTAGTTGCCCTCAAGGGGTCTTGGGAACTAGGTGACAGATTGTGATTCCTTTCACTGGTCTAAAGGGATTTTTAAAATACAAAACAAATAAGACTTTAGCATTTTACCCATCTATTTTCGTTCCATGATCAATTAGATATTGCTAAATATCCCTGCCAGTCAGACTATTCAATTACCACAAGGCCTTCCTCCCTTTTACCCTAAACGTGCCCCTTTGCCTCTGACAGTGGAGTTTTCTGCCATCTAGGAATCTGCATCACCAGGGAAATCATGGTGCCTTATCAGCTGTAGCATCTCCAGCCAAAGAGAACAAAACACTACAGTAGTTTTCAAAGATGCTGACTTCCCCTCACCTGGGTATTTCTTAAATTCTTGGAGGGAATGTACCTGGCATCCTAAAGACACATAGTTTACAGGAGAGTTACACTAAATACAGGAGTCAGAATGTTTCTAACTAATACAACAGCCACCATAATTTGTTTAGTGATGAATTCATAATGTAAATAAATGAACAAATTACATTCCCGAGAGTAAATATACTCTGTAGTTTAAGTGAGCCATGTGGTATTTTATGCACTTTTTCATTGCATGTTATATTTTGAACAGAGAAACAGGAAACGTGTATTTAAGAGCCTAGAAAGAACTGGTGATTATCACAAGAATCTTTTTGCTTTTTTATTAGTCAGGATCCCACAAGGAAATAAATCGCATATCAAATCAGGGTAATTTAAGAAGTGGTTAATAAGGCACTATTTACAATTCAAGCTTTAGGGAAACCTGGAACCTGGAAGAAGAAAGTGATGTGGAGAGAGTCACCTTAATCAGAGCTGAGACTGCACACAGAGAGAGCTGGGGGAATAAGTATTCTGAGCTCACTCCTCACTACCGTTCTGCCAGGACTCTGTTGGTCAGACCCAAGTGAAAACCAGGGAGCAAGGGATGTAAGTCATGAGGGTCAATCTCTGGAGAATGGAGTGTGGAGAGGCAAAAGGAAGCAATTCATTACCTTAATAAATAACACCTTTCCTCATCTGTCCGATCTCTGTCCTCTCTGTTTCTGAGACCACCTAACTTTAGAACTCACCACCCCCTAAACTATAGTATTTGGTATATATATATTTTTTTCCACAAAGCTTGTAACTGTGATATACAATTTTTTAAAAGTGAACTAAGGCTAAATCGATTTTTAAAATAATTTTTTTGCTGGTGGAGAGAGCATTCTAGGCAGAGGGAAAGGCACACTGAAAGATTTAGACATAAACAGGACATTAAAAAACATAAAAGGAAGCAGTTTTGTGGAATTATGGGGAGGCAGAAACTAGTAAGAAGGCTGTCATGATTATGAAGCACTGTATTTTCAATGCTAAAACATTTAGGTTTCACTTATAAGTAGTGAGGAAAACCAGGAGAGTGAAAGCAAGAGCACTGGCTTGAAAAGTAAAATGTAGAAAAATATTTAGATAAAGGGAAACAATGAATCTACAGTGAGTAAAATTGTAGCAGATGTTTTTGCAAAATGGCTATTGGAGGGGGATGGGATCTCAGAGCTAATCTTACTTAGTGATGAAGAATCTGAGATAACCTTAGGAAAGGTTGCAAGAACCAGAAAAGAAGGTGGCATTCAGAGCCACTGAAGGACAATGCCTGTGG